CCAAGTCTGTATTGACACCAGGGATTGCCCTGAGCCAGGAGCAGGACCTTGCCCTTGTTGAACAAGGTTCACATGGGCCCACTCCCCAAGGTTGTCAAGGTCCCTCTGGATGGCATCCCTTCTCTCTAGCAAATCAACTGTACCACTGAGCTTGGTGTCATCCACAAACTTGCAAAGGGTGCCCTCAATCCCATTATGTCATTGATGAAGACATTAAAGTGTTGGTCCCAGTCCAGACCCCTGAGGGAGACCTTTATTATAAAGCCACTACATAAAGTATTAATATTCCAGACAAGCCCATATTATACTCTGTTCACATTAGTTTCTTCTAAAATATAGCAGAAATATGTCAGAGACAGGTAACATGAAGGATGACAAACAGGAAGCTTCCATGGAATGAGAGTGAGAATTCAGACTACGTAGCTTAAAATAAAAACAAGACCACACTCTTCTTTACTATTTGTTGTAATAAAAAGGGGATATATGTTAAAATTAAAAGATAATGGAAATACTGTTTTTAAAAAAAACACCAATACATATCACTTTTCCCTCAAGTGGTAGAAAATCAGAAATCAGGCAAGTACACAGACTGAAACCTCCAGGTTCATTAAGCAGGATACTTCACAAGTGATAAACAATCATCTTTGCTGGTATAAGACAGCTTCTAAGTCATGAGGTGAGGCAGAACTTTTCATCAAACAGGTTAACTAGAGGATTCCATGCCTACGCTTCTATCCAAGGACAGGATACACAATGAACAGATTTTCTGATCCAGTACAGTAACTCCTATATTTCTGGAATCCGAATCACTAACAAAACTACAAGGTACACTTGACAAAAAAAAAAAAAGTATCATTATGAATGCAACTTCAACCATACACAGAGCATGAATAAATAAAAGAGTCTTATAAAAACCCAACCATCCACAGGAGGAAAAAAAAATCCAAAACCCCTCCCCCAAACACCGATCCTCAAGATTTCTAAGGAAAGCAAATGTCATTCCTGTCTTCAAGAAGGAGGACCCAGGGAACTACAGGTCAGCCAGCCTGACCTCAGTCCCTGGGAACGTGATGGAACTAATCCTGGAAACCATTTCCAGGCACATGAAGAACAAGAAGGTGACTTGAAGTAGTCAGCATGGATTCACAATGGGGAAGTCACGCTTGACCAACATGATAAACTTCTACAATGAAATGACTGCCTTGGTAGACAAGGTGAGAGCAGTGGATAGGGTCTACCTTGATTTCAGGGAGGCCCTGGACTCTGTCGTGTAAGATTCCCATAGACAAGCTGCTGATGCATGCTGATGATGCAGACAGAGAGATGGATTGAAAACTGGCTGAATAGCCAGGCCCAGAGGGTGGTATCAGTGGCACAAAGTCTAGGTGGAGGCCAGGAAACAGCAGTGTAACCCAGGGGCAAATACTGGGTCCACTTCTGTTCAACATCTTCGTTAATGATCTGGATGATGGGACAGAGTGTACACTCAGCAGGTTTGCAGATGACACAAAACTGAGAGAAGTGACTGAAACACCAGAGAGCTGCACTGTCATCTAAAGGGACCTGGACAGGCTGGAGAAATGGGATGACAGGAACCTCATGAAGTTCAACAAGGGGAAGTGCAAAGTCCTGCATCTGGGGAAGAACAACCCCAGGCATCAGTACATGCCGGGGGGCACGCAGCTCGAAAGCAGCTTTGCAAAAAAGGACCTGGGGGTCCTCCTGGACACCAAGTTGACCATGAGCCAACAACGTGTCCGTACAGCGAAGAAGGCTAATGGCATATAGGACTGCGTTAGGAGGAGTACTGCCAGCAGACTGAGGGAGGTGACCCTTCCCTTCTACTCAGCAGTAGTGAGGCCACATCTGGAGTACTATTGCCAGTTCTGGGCTCTCCAGTACAAGAGAGATATGGACATACTGGAGAGAGTCCAGCAAAGGGCCACTAAGATGAAGGGACTGGAGCACCTCACATATGAGGAAAGGCTGAGAGAGCTGGGGCAGTTCAGCCTGAAGAAGAGAGGGGAATCACATCAATGTGTATAAAAACCTGAAGGGAGGGTGCAAGGAGGACGGAGCCAGGATCTCTTCAGTGGTGCCCAGTGACAGGACAAGAGGCAGTAAGCACAAACTGAAACACAGGAGGCTCTGTCTGAGCACAGGAAAATGCTTTTGCACTTTGAGGGTGACTGAACACTGGCACCAGCTTGCCCAAGAAGGCAGTGGAGTCTGCATCCTTTGCGATGTTCAGACACTGTCTGGACACAGTCCTGGGCAACTGACTCTAGGTGTCCCTCCCTGAGCAGAGAGGCTGGACAAGATGACCTCCAGAGGTCCCTTCCAACCTCAACCATTCTGTGATTACGTTGCTGACAATTATGACAACAGAACGGTCATATTCTTTTTATGTACCTAATATTGCTTCTGTGAGATAAGTGAACAGTGCAAATCATTGTTATACACAGCCACGTAAAGCAGTACTCATACAGAGGGCACATTTATAGGGTTAATTGTTTTAAATGTTATACCCATATATACATGTTGCAGAGAGTATTAATAATTGGATACATATCTCTTTTTACAAAGACAGACACTAACATAATCTCTAAATCCATCTAAAAACCTAAATTGTAAATCTGATCTAAAAAGCTGGCACTCTGGTCTAAGTATTTTTCAGGATTCTAACATTTTTTTAACTTTAATTCAAGATGTTGTAGAAAGTTTACAGCAACTTGGCTACTATAACAACATATCACAAGTAAGAAAATATTTTGCCCACTAGGTATAGAAAGATAATACAGCAAATATGTGCTGATACACAATTACCTACAGAATACAGAAAGAACTAATGAAGGGATCATGCAGTCATCTACTACACTCGTAAGACATCACAAGGAGATTCATAAGATTATAAGGAGATGCCAAGTTCTTCTTCCATTATCACATGCAATTTTAAAAATATTCTACCCCTGTGTGCCTTGTTAGCAGAATAAATACTTTATTTAGCAATTAGTTCTGCGAATTGAGGCTTTGGGTTAAGGAAAAGTTCTCTTGAACTTTCAAGTTTTTCACTCAACTGAAGTCTACAGGATTAAGAAGTTTTCAAAACAAACTGAGAAAGTAAATTCAAGTTCAAACTCAAATTACACCTTAGAGCCTACACTCACACTCAAACTAATACTCAACTTGTCATCTAGGCTAGGAAAAGAAAAGAAAAGAAAAAAGGGGGTGAAATGGTGCTTTAAGCATATGTAGAGGCACACACCTATATGTAAACCTGCTTTCATGCTAAAAAACAAGTAAGTTGCACTATGATATTTTGGCAGTTGCTTTTCAGCAAGCTTAATTACAAATGACAGTTTAAAACTGCTTCATATGGGATGTAATATATTAGCAAAATACCATTCCATTATATGAGATTGTGGTGAAGTCACAAAGAATCTCCAAAACTGTAACATACACCAGAAGCATTGTATGTTGCAGGCCTCACGGAACTGCATACAAGAAACAGAGCAATGTCACCCCAAACTAGGACACCAAAGGACCACAGGTGTGTATGGCACAAGCTCCAAATAAAAGAGGATCAAAGGGGTTTATTAGTTTCTCATATGCTGAAGACCCAGCAATAAAATATGTATTAGTGCATAGTCTGTCTGAAGAAAATTCTCAGACAGCTGCTTTGTACAGTATCTTCAGAATTGCCTTCCATTCTGCACACACGTGCTATATTCTAAAATGTTAGCCTTATAACTTTTCATGATTTCACTTGGTTTTCAAACTACTCACCTCCTTCAATGGATGGTCACACTTGCCTATATACTCACTGTATCGCTGACCATTTAAACTTCGGGACTTGTATGCTTGGCATTGGTAAGTAGTATCTCAAAAAGACAGAAGCCCAAAACGTCTTGTTCAACTCAATTTTTTTTTTTCATACTTACATTATCAGTCATTGACTTGGTTAGGTTCGTGAGTTACTGTAATTTTGCACATGAAAATTCTACAAGTTTTGTGTCTGAAATTACCCAGTTTTACAAAGGATCAAGTTTAAATACTTCAGAAAAATCATCTGTGATGCAATTCTGAATATCTTTAGTCTGCTCCACAGACATATCTTGTCTTCTCAAAATGTGCATTTTACACGTAATTAAAATTCTAGGTTTATTTAGGTGTAAACCTGCTGGTATAAATTATGTTGTTCTATTTCTATGTATATTTTACTAACCAAATCATAAAGTAACAAACTGAATCTTATTCCAAAAAGATACATAGCAATGATAAAAATAAAGCGAGAAAAACTGTGTCAGTGTTCCACAATTCTTTTGAACCATTTGATCCTGGCTGACCCTGATGTGTTCTATATACATCTTCTAATGCAGTTGAAGGCTTATTATGAATCAACAGAAGGATGTTATTATACCTTCTCATAGAGCTAGACATTTATGCCTAAAGACACAATGAGACTTCCACAGCACGTACCAAAGTTTTAACTGGTAACAGGCACATACGAAGCAAGATTATTATGGCATCATAGAAAAGTATCTCAAAATGGTAGTAAGTATCTCACAAAATGCACCATCCAACCAGCTTACAAAATTAAAGACGACAGGAGCTCAGGTACACTTTAAGTACAGAGAATCAACAGGCTGATGAGTTGAACCCATAAGCTAAACCACTACAAGTGTTCATGAGCACATTTTACCCTTGCCGTATTGTAAAGCATGTTCACAAACATCTCCAAATGGTATGTAGGTTGCATTACTTTACATTGCTAGCAGTGCACATATAGTCAGGTTACAGCAGTTACAGCAGCTCATCTAACATGTAACACCTCTTTAAGACAATGGAATTCCACTGGCCCGATCACATTTATCTACTACCTAATAAGTACCCTTTTTATTTTCCAGTACCTTGCCTTGTCACAAACTTTGTATCTAAGTTTAAATTCCTTGCTTTAAAACAAACCTACACAGCTTTATTCTCTTAGAAAAAAACATTACCTTCTGAGGGGTCAAAACCCTCTGCCTGAACTTTTCAATCGTATCTTGACCTGCAGCCGCCCATGCACTGGCAAACGCTTCAGCTTTGTCTTGATCCAGGTGAATGCTTTGCAGCTGTTGTTGCAATGAAGCAGGCTTCAAATTGTGATAGACTGCCTGTCAAAAGGAAAAATAACTGCTGTTGTCGAGTACTGCTTTACAAGTTGTGCCAGATATATTCTACCACAGATGGCCACCATGTTCACATAGGATTTTTACTAGCAACTCTATTGTGGCACTGCAAAGCATCCTGTCCATCTTAACCCTTTGACTGAGAAGACAGAAAAGTGTAACTATCTTAACTGTGTCTCAAAATGCAATATTACAAATGACTCTTCTCAAGATAGACAAACTATGAAAAAAGGCATATACAAGCAGGATCTGAGTATATGTGTTATGTTTCCACTGTACATAACACCAAAGCAGCTATCACTGAAAAAAAACTGAGCTTTGAAGTCAATTGTGACAGTGAAAAAAGGACAACTCTTCCAAATTCATACTGTTCAAGCAAGCCTGAACTACAAGGTAATATTCTGAAGAGACAGGAACAGTTTGCCAAAAAAGGTGAGTTAGATATAACCTCCCTATTAGCATCAATTTTTGTGGTAAACACTCTATATAGTATGCTGGTCTCCACTTTCAAAACAGGACTCTGTCAGCACTAGGGCAGGGAAAAAAAAAAGAAAAGAGAAACAACATATGCAGCAAAGATGATGCAGCAGTCTTATTATATATAATGTGTCCATAGACCAAAGGGCTGTTAAAAAGAGTTATGCTCTGACAGAACAAGC